GTACCAAAAGATCTCAAACCTGTTCTGACAAGTACAACAGATGCTGAACTAATGCTCCATAAAAAAGAACTTACTACACTGGCTACATGGTTAAGTGATGCACTAAAGCGCAACTATTTCTAGAATAAATTTTGATTCCATATACACTTCAATAAACTATATAACTTGTATGCAAAATAGACAGTTTCTACTGCAGGAACTAAAGAAAGTGATGCAAAAAGCAGAACAGGCTATACGTTTTCTGTTATAAAATTACAACCATCTTTGAAAAGGTACCAAAAATAAATACTCAAACTCAACTAACAAAAATGTACTCTAAAAGATATGAAAATGAATACCAAACACCAAACACATGCAATTATACACTATTTTGGAAAACTGTTTTATATAGGCACTCAAGACACAAGGCTTACGTAGGATATATGATACCTATCACTGACTATGAAATGTTTTTTAAGTAACCTTTCAAGGTAACCAAAGTCTATAAACTAACAATACTGGTATAGTGCAGGAATCCAAGCAGGAATTAGTTAATTTGCTTATGTAAATGTTTTATTTGCCTAAATATATTCATAAAGTTTTAGTTCATTCTGTGCAGAATAGAATGGTTTATTAAACATGATGTGTGGATCTTGAATTGCTCTGTTCTCTGTATATCAGCCAGATCTGCATGGAAAACGAAACCAAAAATGTGTGATTTGCTTACTCTCCTGAAGAAATCAGGGAAACCGTAATCCATTTTTGGATCAACTGAACTTATTCATGCAGATCTGTCTGACTTAAGTGCTTGATTTACAGAATGTACAAGTCTGCACTTATATGTTTGACTAATCAAAAAATATATGTATTTTCTGCTTCGCCTTAGATATAAACAAATGCTCTCACCTTAAATGCCAAGTATGCTTGTTTGGAAGATCCTGTACACAATAGGGTTGATTTACTATAGGCAAATAGGCTCTTCACCATGCAAGGAAATCTGTGCTTTGCAGAGGTTTCCCTTAGCTTGGTTAATGTGGTGAAAATTCACTTTGCAAAGAATACACAACTTGTGTAATGTAGTGACTCAACTGCTCTCCAAATCTAGAGTAGATACTGATCCTTTTGGCATCCAACTGTACAACTACCATTCAACTGTCAAATGAGAGAACTTCATTTGTTTGCATGAATGGACCACTAAATCAATAATAGTTATACCGTATATACTCGAGTATAAGGCGAGATTTTCAGCCCATTTTTTTGCGTGAAAAGTGCCCCCCTCGAAATCTTTCAACTAATGGAGGAATAAAAAAAATACTGCTTCCAAACCTACAAAAGCAGTCAAATAAAATAAATCTCCTAAATCAAAATATTCAAATAATCTTCTACAGCAAATACAACAGTGCCAATCTATGTTTGTAAGGAAATATTAATTTGCCTTCTCAATTTCAAATCAATATTTCTGCCATCACTATTTCATGTACAGCTTGTACAACTGTACAACTTCTATTGTAAAAAGTTTCTTTAACCACCTTCCGTCCATGGCCGTTTGTGAACGGCCGGCCGGACGTCTGCTAGGAGCGGGAGGGCGTCTTAAGACGTCCTGCCCCTCCCCCCTCTTGTGTGCGGCACTCAGCGCGCACACGAGTGGGAAAACTGTGAGCATGTAAACAGCCAGCGATCTCTGCTTCATCAGCTTCTGATGGGGTCCCTAGGTGACATCAGAGGTCTTGGAGACCCCTGATGTCTTCATAAAGAGGACCTGTTTGGTGAACTGGCTATTACATAGGGGATTTCTTAATCGCCTATGTTATAGCAATAAAGTTGTCTAAAAAAAGTTAAAAAAAAAAATTACAGCATTAAAAAAAAAAAGAAGCTAAAAAAATATTCACAAATAAGAATAAAAAAAATTACATAAAAAATGTTTTAAAGTCCCCGCCCCCCCCACATACACATGCAAACATGCGTCGGGTGCGCCTATGTACGAAAACGACGATTGCGCCTATTATGCAGCACATATTACATATCGCCGCCAACGTCGGAGTGAGAGCAATCATTTTAGGGCCATCAATCACTGATAACACTAAACTGATGAGCGGTAAAAACGTTTAAAGTGTCGCCTATGGCCAATTTTGGTTGCGGTCGTTTTCTGCGATTTTGCGGGCGCGCGCAATTTTAAAGGTTGACATATTTAGTGTCTATTTACCCGACGTGACCCCGTCTTTTATATTATACCAAAAAATTGGGGTGAAAATAAATGTTTCATAACATTTTATAGGGAAACATGTTTTTTTTTTACAAAATTTAGGGTACTTTTTTTGGTATATAGTAAAAAATAAAAACCCCAGCTGTGATTAAATACCACCAAAAGAAAGCTCTATCTGTCCCCAAAAAAATGGTATAAAATTCATTTCAGTACAGGGTTGCATGACGGAATAAACGTCAGCCAAAGTACCGCAGCGCTGAACACTGAAAAATGGCCTGGCCAGGAAGGGGGTGAAACACCGCGGTCTTCAAGTGGTTAAAGGGTTATTAAACCCTTGCATGTTTTTGCATATATCTACTGCTAGCAAGCAGTAGATATATGCAAAACAATAAAAAACTTTTTCAAAGGGTTAATACTTAACCGTGTCTCCGCCGCACGCTCCCGTCCAAACATCTGAAAATTTATCGGGCGGCCGCAAAGTATCTTGGGGCGGGCGCATGCGCAGTTCAGATGTTCGGCCGGGAGACGAGGAGAGACACAAGGTAAGTCTATGGAGCAGCGTGCACAAGCACAGACTCCGTGGGACATGAGAGACGAGGGGGGCAGAGGAATCAGCGCTGGATCGGAGACCAGCACCAGTGCTGGAGGGACAGCTGAAAACTACACTAAAGAAGATGATGATGGGATTAAGAGGCATCATTTAACGTAAAAGTCCCTACAACTAACATTGGGGGGAGGGAAAAAAATTAGCCTTTAATGTCACTTTAAGTCTATTTTCCCCATGTGTATAGGAGGTAATGATATTACTGTAGCAAAGGTGCATAACCTTAACATTTTAAACATCAACTTTAATTTGTCCTGTAACGTTCCACATTATCGTTAAAATCCTGTAATCACCATCCCTGCAAAAGTAATATACCGTACCTCTGCTAATTTTTCTGACATTTTTCATATAGTTTATAAAATAAGAACATTATTAAGTGATATTACAAAACCCCAATACATCACAGTGGAAGCATTTCAAACATTCTGATTAAAAAATCAGCTCTTCATAAAAATTGATAATTTTAGGTTGACACTATCTTTCATGAACCCATGCTGAGTCTCTCCTATGATATTATTTCGGACTCTATAATTTTCTATAACATGCCTTTAATACCTTAAAATAATTCACACACAACAGAAGCTAGGCTTACATGTCTCTAATGTTCCAGTTTAAGCTTTACCATTCTCAAACCCCATTTACAGGCTCCCTCCTACCAGTCTCTTCCACTCCCCTTGGAGGACCCTCCACATGTAACTTATACTGTATTTTTTTTTTAAATGTATGTAACTGTTTTCAGGTGTCTTAAGGCCAATCATGTGATGGTGTGGTCCTCAGAGATGCAGAGAGAACCGCGCTGATGCTATGACATCATTACACTGCATAATTAAACTATGCATGAAAAGCGCCATGGTGATGCCCCCCTCAGGAGACGGGTCCATGCCAGCTTGCATTCACAGAATGAATTAATTCTTCTGGTTGAATAACACCCAGCATGAGGACATCTTCTGGCAGGTAAGAGGTGCTGTGGTAGGCAGCACTGGAGAGGAAGTGATGGATGTGGGACATATTAAGAGAAAAAAAAGAAGATTTCCCAGAGACAGTTGTTTGACTTTGAAGAGTGGTGGAGCATTAGCAGTAGACTAGTTTAAAATAAATATACAGCATTATTTAACACAGAGGGTGTCATGAGGGGCGCAGAGGGTGTCATGAGGGGCGCAGAGGGTGTCATGAGAGGCGCAGAGGGTGTCATGAGGGGTGCGGAATGTCCCGGGAGGGGTGCGGAATGCCCCGGGAGGGGTGCGGAGGGCCTCGGGAGGGGTGCGGAATGCCAAGAGAAGCAGCTCAGACGGGCACAGTTCCTTGCAGCCGCGGCCGCAAGGAACTGTGCCCGTCTGAGTGCGTGCAGACGGGACGGCAATACATGCCGGCGGAATCACGGCAGGGAATGAGCGGCACTCTCCGGGGGGGCCCCTCTTCTTCCTCGCTGGGCCCCCCCAAATAGCGGAACGCCAGGGCTGCGACCCTGGTAGTTCCGCCAGTGTAACAGACTCAACACAAGCGTGTAGCTTGTGAGCACTGTATGCTTGTTCCATATCAGTAATTCAGAAAATCTTAAAGCCAGAGACAGACAGGCAACTAGTATTTTCTAAAATAGTTTGGACATGTCAACCATCATATTTCTCTCAGTACAGAGTTCCTTTAAATGCTTCAGAAGGATGGCACATAGACCAGGTACTTTATCTAAAATTACATTTTGTGCAAATCAGTAGCATATAGCATAGTCAGTGTAGAAAATAATACCTGTGATTATGGGACATATAATTAAAGTTTAATCAATATCAAATGAGGTACAACAACTGTTAGCAGAAACATTTAGATCGATACTGTAAAAAGAAGAAGAGTATACATTTCTCTTTAAACTCAGGCATCACAATTCACTAATGGTACAAAGAACCAAGACAGATCATAGGGTGCAGGTATAAGCTTGCTTGAAACATGTTCACAAATAAAACTTTCATTAAAGAAATGTGTCACTAAACTTTCAAATCTATTGCCTCTAAATCTGTGCAGCAACTTAGAAAATGGTGGTTCTCTACAAATCACGAAGCTTGGAAGAGGCTGCAAAGCCAAAGGTGACATTGTTTAAGTGTTCTGTTTGTACTTACTTCACTTTGTTGAGGGGATTTATTGCATAGTCACCATAGGCACATAACACAAGCTTCATTTGAATCCATATGCTACAGCAAGTAAAAGTAAAATATGACCACTTACATGAAAATCTTTCTCTTCCAGTATCTCTTTCCCCCATCTCACTAGAAAGGCAGCACACACATATAAATGAAAGTGCGAAAATCCTTCAGGTTCAGACTAAAATAAAAATGAATAAAATTGTATTATGTGTTATATACAATAGATAAAAACATCAATCAACATATGAAACTTAGCAATAAACAAAATAACAAAAACAGACAGACAGTCCAAATAATGAAGACCTACCCTAGACTCTGAAAACCAGAAAAAACAAAACATTGAAGACCAGCCCCCATATAACCATGCCTACAACCATGTAATTTGTTTGAGCAAGTAGTACATAAAGAGAGAGGGACAGGACCTGTGTTCCTCAATGGACTTCAAGAAAAATGCTTTAAGGTAAGTACAAAGATCTTTTTTTCTTCTGCATCCATTGAGAGTCATAGGAATTCAGGAATTTGTAAGAGTCGGGATGTCCAAAAGCAGTCCAACTGAATGGTGGGCAACAGCCACCGATGGATGTAAGATAGAATCAGGAGCCATCTGCAACATCCAGAAATAATAATGCCTGAACCAGAAGAGGTGAAGTTCACAATAGGACAAGGGGACTGCTAAAGACCCAGGGAAGATGCTCAACCAGTAAAAGAATTGCTGCTAAAGGGAATGACTACCTGGAAGGAAACTGTGTCCGCACCAGCAGAAGCTGCGAGTCAAAGCAACCACCAACAGGTGGAGTAATATAACTATCCAAAAAAGGAAAGAACAATCCAACAATAAGAATGACCTGCAAAGGTTTCCCAGCCTCAAAATAGATTCTTAAAGGAAAATTGGAACATTGGAACAAGTCCACAAGGTAAGACTAGCCAGTGGAAAATCAAGGAGTGGGAGACAACCCCAATGGAAACCCCTTAATTAAGAGAGACTAACAAAGGGGAACAAGAATGCAAGAAGTACCCCATACCAAAATAGAAAGGTGTGGGAAGACAACCACCTCCTACTGGTTTCAACACCTGAAAACAGTAGGACAAGCATACCCATCTACAAGGACCCAACAGTGTCACTAGAACCTGACAGGGAAAAATACCTGTAGGGCCTATTTACCTGATCCAGGACATGGGAATAAAAGTCCTCTAACCCACCAAAATCCAGTGATGTGCCTACAGCCGTGAAGTGAGGACGAACTTTAGCCATAAAGACAAGACTGACCACTTGATTAAGGACAGGAGCAAGAAAAATATTTTGAGGGACATCATATAGAGGATGCAAATCAGCCACAGTTGGAGGGCCAAAACTCAGGGAATCAGAGTATGCAACACTAACACAGAATAAATATCCTCTCACCTTTTGAAAAGATTACTGCACTCTGGTAGGAGCATACTGAGGCCACCCAAGAAGTTGCTAATGACAATTTCAAGAGCCAGGCCAAAGAGATGACATCCCTCAAAGGGAAGATAATTCACCTGTTTCATTGATGACTCATCAGCGCCCCACACAAGTAGCAGCACGCCCTTTGCATTTGTACAGGCAACAGTTCTATGTGGGACACAAGATCAGAGGCTTAATTTAAACCATCAGAGCCAGATCAGAAGGCTCCAGACATCTGCTCCAACTGGTCCATAACATACCCAAGCATGGAAGGGTTCTCTCTAGGGCGTCTAATCCATTCTTACATGGTTTGATATATCAGTTAATGCCAACCCAGGACAGAGGGGGCCAAACCAGTTAAGTCAAACTGGGATATAAGGAGAGAATTGAACTGCTTATCAGTGAAGTTCCTGACGGTAAACATACCTTCAACCCTTCTTGTTGTATCTCTGTTAATTTGGATCCTTGGTGAATCCACTTGTCAAAAGGGAAATGTTTTGGCAGAGATTCAGACTTGTCATGGTGTTTCTAGTCTGCATATAGGAAATCCTCAGACAGAGGGTGTAATGAAAAGTCTTTGCAGACGCAGGTGCTCTACAAGACCCAATGCCTATAACAGCAGGCTGATCTTCCAAATTAGGTGTTGGTTCCATTTTCGGATACCAAGTAAATGCCCCCAGAAGCATTAGGGTAGTATGGAGTAAAGTTACCCATAGCAGTGGAACTGGCCTCTGTGTATCTTTAAAAAGACATGTTTCTTTGGGTGGCGATCAGTAACTAGACACATCGTGAGGCAAGGCCTCAAGAACTCTGAAACCTAGCCAGTTGGTGCTAATGAGGATTTCAGGTGTACAAAGGTGACAAAATCACTGTAGGCGGGCAATGGAATAGAACTGGAGACCAGAGATTCACTTAGTGCTTCAGGAGCAGCATCAGGATGGGTCTTCCTATAGGCTAAATGGCAGGAAAGAAAAGGCAGAGCACATGTGCGCAGCACTCCACATAGCATATGAAGTCATTGCTCAGGCCCTCATCCTAAAGCCCTACTGTGGTGAACATGGCAGAAGCAACACATTTGAAAAAAAGGCACCTGACGGTACCAACTGTGAGGTAGCTAAGCCCGACCAGTCTTACAAACTAAGTGAGCCTTCAGACCCAGGGTCACTCCAAAGATCCACTTTCAGTACAAAATTGTAATAATAGGCAAAGTGTCCCATATTTACTTCAGTCAACAAAAGAAAATACAGGATAATAGAAACATTTTTGTTGAAGTGTTAAGACTTCTGCATCCAGTATTGTATGTCTTATATCACTCTGATAGTGAACATTAAACTACCAAGTACAATTTATAGTTGAAAGATTAACCATTAATAGGCTAATATTCAGAAGAGATTATTCAAGGTGATGGCTTTGCCTTTTCCATCCCCACTATAGAGGAATAACAAAAGCTTCTGGCTATTGTTGTACACTGATTTTCCTGAGCAAGTAAGGCCCCATCCGTATATGAAGAAAAGAGAAAGATGAAAAGTATGGTAAATATGCAGTTGTCATTGTCAGCTCAGGATCACAGTAGCTCCTGGCACTCCAATGACTTGTTCAAGGGCTGGAAGATAAGTTCCAGCCTATTGTTCTAAAAGAGGTAAGCAGATTTAATGGCAAATAGGAACAAGATGCCTCATTTATAGCAACTGCTCAAACAAATGTGTTTGTAAAGGAGTCTGTGATACCTTATTGACTGGCACACATACAGCCCACTAGACAGATTACAGAACCAACATATGGAACTATATCTTTACCAGACTTCTCAATTGTATTTAACCTATATTATTTAAGTGTTTCTATAAAGGCTTCATTCAAACTTGAAAAATGAAGGAATTATAACTGCCTCTTCAACAAACAAACTATGTATGATGAATTACTTGTGAAAGAACACTCAGGAATATTCAACGCTCTTATAACAGGCAGCATGTTGCTATGGATATAAGCAGCTCTCAGTTGCTGGTTCCACACTTGAAGTTGAATCAGAGTACATACATGCAAACTGCCCATTTAGTCACTAACATTCAGTGACCTTTGTTACATAAATGAAAAGAAAAAAATATGGTGAAGGTTGGACTTGGTGTGATTTTTCTATAGGCTGTCTTGGTATAGGACTTTTTTAATAACCTATCATCTCAAGAGATGTAAATCCAAAAGAATGCAATCCTTTATTTTTCTTCCCCACAATGCCAAGAAGAATTTAAAGAAGGTGAAATAGCATGATGTTGATAAGAGTCATACTTATAGCAGGACATTGAATTGGTTTGTCCCTTCTAGATTCTACAGCACAATTAAATTACACTTGTTTGTGTCCTAGCTTTCTGACACACACTTTGACTTAATTTCATATCTAAGCAGATAAAAAGCATGTTTAATCAAGGTGCACTAAAATAAGGAATGTGCTGAACATTTTCAGCATTATCTTACCAAACACCTGTGACTTGCTTTCATTTCCCACTTTATTTTTTAAAGCAAGCGTTGATCTTAAAAACCGTGGGGAGACTTTATTTTAAATATACAAGGAAAGTAAGTTGGGAAAAAAAGTATTAACATTAGAACAAAACATATGTTTGTCTATGTAGAAAGACAGATACTGTATATGAAATTGATAGACAAATGTCTGCCAGGAACATTCATTAAAAAAAACCATTACAAAAATAAACTTTTATTTGTAGATCTAAATATTTTCTTTTATTATATTAAAAAAAAAACTCAGCAAAGGTTCTTCATGTATCATTAGCAAACTAAAAGCAACTCAATTGGAATGTATTCCCGGTATTATTATTAAATATGATATATGTGATTTGCAATGTATTGCATGAGAGCTTAAAACTCAACTCCAGAGGAATTACAAGTTTTGCCTTGCAATGGGGCTGCCCACACACTGCAAGAGTTAACTGCTCGATTATGCCTAGGTGACTAAAAAAGCTGCTTTACTTATCTGATCCCTGCTTCCGATGTCTCCTAGTGGGCTACAAGATCACTCCCCACAACCTCTTCTCTTCCAAGCTCTGCCAGTCTAAGGTCCAACTATGTCAATAAGTACAAGGAAGGCTTCACAGACCTGCAATGGAGACACGCAAGGATACCAAGGTCCTCAGATAGAGTGGAGGGGGAGAAGAAGAAAGTGGGTGAGCAAGGATCAGATAAACATTTTTTCCCCCCTGTCCCATAGGCATAAATGAGCAGTTACGGTAATCCTTGCAGTGCAGTGGCAGCTTCACTGCAAGGAACACATTTTCATTTCCCCGGAGTTGGGCTTCATGCTTTTTAACTTATATGGCAAGCCAACTGGCATATGGTATACGGGTCCCTATTTGCTTCAACGAAAGGATATAAAATAAGTAAATGGCAATATGCAGTGGGTACCACTCCAGGCTTGTGTTTAACACAGAAACCATGAGAGCACATTAAAGTGACATTAAACCCTCAGAGTTTTTAACATAAACCAATACTGTAATGTGTGCCTTACTGTAATCCATGGTTGTTTCCCTTCTCTTTGCTGCTCTTCCTTTTAAATACTCATGTCTTCTCATGCTTGGGGAGAACTTCCCTTTTCAGCTCAGGGCCTCTTCCTGTAGTGCTGGCTCAGGTTACAAGCCTATAGAAACCTATACACAGACACCGTGTATCCATTCCTTGAGACAAGAGAGTCTGCTGCAAAACAGAAGTTCTGCAGAGCATGAGAACAGATACAGATTTAAAAGGAAGAG